TTATGCCCACTATTTAATATACAATAAAATATAATATAAATTGTTCAAATAACAAAATTACTATATATTCAAAAAATGATAATGTTATTATAGTTAAATATAATTTTATATTATAATATAAAATATTTTTCACAAATATAAAATATAATATGTTCAAAACTATTTATTTGTTATGAATTTTAAATATAACATGTTACATATAAACAAAAATATTTATTTATTATAAATTTTGATTATACAAAATGAATAATTATCTTGTGTATTGTATATGCTACAATACTACTTTTATATACATAACAAATTTTTCATTCAACATTTTATCTTATATATAATATATAATTATAATAATGTTGAAAGTAAAATTTAAAGTATATTTAAAACAAATTATTATTGCACAAACAGTTTGTAAAGGAAATATTTGTAAACAATTTATCTTATATTAGTGCTTCTTAATCTAATTTTCCTTCATAATAAAAAAAAATACACTAAATCAATAAGATATGATAGGTTAAATATGTGTATAATATTTTATTGGCGCAACAATAAAGTGATTATAAATTATAACATATATGCTACCTTTGAAAGGACTTTGAAAAGTTAAAATCTAATGTATACAGTTTATTATGGGTGTTAGCACTTTATGATGAATAGGAATTAAAAAAGTGATTAAAGATTTGTAAGATGAAATAATTTATGTTTTCCACATAAAAAGATAAATTAGAGAAAATTCAAAATGGGTAAAGAAATATTGTATATATATCATGAAATCGAAGAGAAGAATAAAAATAGTTGTTAGTGTGTAGATTTTTGGCGAGAGAGTTGGTAACTAGGAGCAGATAGGTTTTGGTTTTGTGATTTATACGTAGGATGGAAGAAGTGGAAGAGAAAGTAAAAGTGAGAATGATGAAACGAAAGGGTGCGGCGGGACTGACGGGAGTGAGGAATTGGATGGTGGTGACGGAGACAGGGCAGAGACGGTTGGAGTGTGTTGGGAAGCACTCCATTATGCGCCGAACTGGGTTGCCGGCGCGTGACCTTAGGGTCCTCGATCCCATGCTGTCTCACCCTTCTTCCATCATGGGACGTGAAAGAGCCATCGTTCTCAACTTGGAACACGTCAAAGGCATCATCACTGCCTCCGAGGTTCTCATGATCAACTCCTCCAACCCTCTCTTTCTTCACTTCCTTCAACATCTTCTCTCTCGTCTTTCTCATCAAACTCCCTCTCCGGTACGTACCTACATACTTATTCCCTTAACACAACTTATATTATCAAAACATACTATATAAATACAGAAAATTTCTTACATTTTATACCTCAGTTTTATAAGATTGACTTAAACACATGTACGTGATCATGCATGAGAATATATGTTTATGGTGGTAGTGAATTTTTATACTATAAACTTCATATTACACAGATGAGCAATGACATGGATAGTGAAGCAAAACCTCGAGAGATGGGATCAGCTACGTTGCGCGGTGGTGAAGATTCCCAAAACGGTTTGCCTGTGGGAGTATCTGAGGAATCTGATGCAGTTCAAGCAAGAGTGGATAGCCCTAACCCTAAGATCAATGCAGAGATGTTAACAGGAACACTAGCTCCTAAACAGTTACCTTTTGAGTTCCTTGCACTTGAGACATGTATTGAATCTGCTTGCAGGTGCCTTGAATCTGAGGTTTGTACTAATGTTGTTCTATATAATGTGTGGATATACATATATATGTACATTGCTCTCCTTTCTTTTTTATATATATATATGCCTTTAAGCTCTATGACTTGTATTGTGTCTATATTGTTAGACTTCAACATTGGAGGATGAGGCTTACCCAGCTTTAGATGAATTGACTTCTCAACTTAGCACTCTCAATCTTGAACGTGTAAGACAGATTAAGAGTCGTTTGGTTGCACTTTCCGGTCGTGTGCAAAAGGTATATAATATTAATTGGATTTAAGTATTAGCAACTAACAATAGTATGTCATTCTTCTTATTTCATGGATGCCAACACGTACTATAGCTCTAACCAAGTCTTGAAGTTGTTCAATCTTAAAGGATCTGTGCCATTTTGTGTTTCACCGTGGCTTACAGTGCAACTTTCTGCAAATGCTGGTTGTTTTGTGTTGCATTTTGCCACCGCCCTTGTGAGCAATAGTGTTCTACTTTCATTGCTCTGTTTTGTTCTTAATTCAATTTAGCCACATAAATTCTCCACTTTAGGTTGGACTTATGCATAATTATTTGGGTGCTTTTATATTGTAGGAAATTCCGGGTAGGAGCATAGAGTCTATATTAACCTGAAAATGTGAAATACCAAAAAGAAGCAAAATGATTAGATTTGTAGGTTCCTTTAGTTCGGATTTACTTATGAGCATATTTTCGCACCGAGATCTAGTATATGTCTAGGGACATATTTTGTTAATTGTTTTAATAAAGCTATGTTGTTGTTGCAAAAATTAAATAAAAAAAGGACTAATCTAAGTCTTGCATTTTATAGGTAGCAGATGAACTAGAACATTTACTAGACGATGATAATGACATGGCTGAAATGTACTTGACACAAAAGCTTCAGGCTTCATTACAAGAAGAATTCAGTTCTGAATGTGAAGATGGCGATCAAAGGTAAATACCATAAATATTTGTCTATTTAACAATATATATATATATATATATATATATATATATGTATGTGTGTGTATTTTGACAAATAAGACTAAAGTTGTGATTAGTAATTACATAAGTCACACTCAGAATGGTTGCTTAATTTTGTCAGTAGTAATGAATCAAATTCGGAAAAGTTTGACAAATTCTCTGGCCTTAAACCTGACGTTGAGGAATTGGAGATGCTTCTAGAAGCATATTTTGCACAGACAAATGGAATCTTGCAAAGATTGTCTAGTGTAAGTATATATCTCTTGAACTATTGTATTCTTAAAAGATTCTTGTGTCTTTTTCATAATAAGAGAAACATTTTTGGAATACTCACTTATGAATGTGTTTGTGACTTGGTTAAGTTGAGTGAGTACGTGGATAACACGGAGGACTACATCAACATAATGTTGGATGATAAGCAAAATCAGCTTCTGCAGGCATCAATAATTTTCAACACCCTAAACATGATACTTAGTGCAGGAATTGTGGTTGTAGGATTGTTTGGCATGAATATTCAAAACAAACTCTTCGATGGTGAACCTCGTCAATTTTGGGCAACAACCGGTGGTACATTTGGAGGATGTGTACTTATGTTCCTTGTATGTTTTGGGTGGGGCAAGAAAAAATATTTTCTCTCTCAGTAGGGGCAATTAATCACTTCACGAATTTGTGAGTGAACTCATGTACTATGGTTTGATGTTTGAGTGCTTTGGTAGATAAAAGAATTTTGGAATCGCTGCTATAAAACTGGAAAAAAAACGAATTCATCACGATGAATTTTTAAATTTTTGCTTAAAAATTAATCCTTGAACACTAAAATTTTTGTAGTGACTTATAATCAGTAAGCTACATGTTATTGATTATGTCGGATTTTAAAATTAATTTCAATTTGAGTAATGCTAATTAAGAAAAGTATTAGTTAATAACTTAAAAAATATTTTTATTAAAATTACTGTAATGTATATATATGTTTTGCCTAACTTTTTTTTTACTTAAAATTATTCTAAAATTATTTTTTTTTTAAAAATGAGAGTTGCCTATTATGCACCTTAATTGTACTTTTTTTAATCATCTATCACCCAAATTTTATCACGAAATTATATCATTCAATAACTTTCAAATCTTCAGACATTTTATTACGTTGTCAATTGATTATTAATTACTTAATCAATAGTATAACAAGTTGATACCTTACATAACACGTTAATTAGTAATATAACACATTAATTGTTAATATAAATTAAAGATATTTTTACTAATAATAAATAAATACACATTAATTAATAATCAATGTGTTACATTAACGACCAATTAATAATAAAGAAGCATGAAAGGTGAGTTACAAAATTCATAAAATTGGGAAACATGATAAACAAAATTACAATTAGGGCTAAATTCTTTAAATTACCTTAACTATTAAATATTTTTATATTTTTAATTAATTTTCATGTTATGTACATGAGCAAACATAGGAAAAAAATTTCTTTTATGGCGCGTTGTTCCCACTTCAAATTTATCCATCATTGTCGTCCAACCAGGAACTTGAAATTAGCATGTGTCATACAAAACATTAAGCCACTAGAAAATTGTGGATAGAATGAAATGGCAGCACGTGTGTGCAGCGAGAACCACCAACTCGTATGAAAAGTGCAAACAGCAAGAAAATACGAAAGAAGAAAAAAAAAAACTAGTGGCTATTATGCATGCATGCACTGCACAGTGCACACGATGGCATGACATTTACGATAACACCATTTCTCAGCTTCTCCACCACTCACACACATTCACTGTGCTCTCTCATTCTTTCATGACATGATCACCGCATGCAGAACTTCTTCAACCACCAACTTTGGAGGGCCTCAACCTCTTTCTCTGCGCTTCCTATCCAAACCAGCTTTTCTATCTCTCACCCTCTTCTTCCCCTCTCACTCTCCTCTCAAGAGCATTGCGGTTTCCTCAACTCAGTGCAAACCAAGAATCCGGTGTCACAAAGAAGTAGGAAATGGTAATATTAATGATGGGGTAGATGAAGAGAAAGAGGAGGGTGAACGTGAGGTGCTGTGTGAGGTTCAAGTAGTTTCTTGGAGGGAAAGGAGAGTTAAGGCCGAAATTTCTGTCAATGCTGACATTGAATCCATTTGGAACGCTCTCACTGATTATGAGCATCTCGCTGATTTCATTCCAAATCTTGTCTGGAGGTAGTGTATAAATATCATAAGAGTTTAATTTCTAGTCGACTACGGTCATCATAAAAAAATTATATAATCAGAAATTTTGGTTAGTATAAAAAGGAAAAATGATGTTTTATATGTAGAGTATTATAAGTAGTGTGATGTATTTCCTCTAATCAATGTTTCCATTTCATCACACAGTAATTGTTTTTTCTTCATAACTAAATTTGGCAGTGATTGCCGAGACGAAATGCCAATTTTGGTTGGAAAGTACTGATACTATTTATAGTATTTCAAGTAAGTTTTGTATGAGATTATGACTATGAGCATTTTTGTTTGTTTGTTTGGCAGTGGGAGAATTCCTTGCCCATATCCTGGACGGATATGGTTAGAGCAAAGAGGATTTCAAAGGTCAATGTATTGGCACATAGAAGCTCGTGTTGTGTTGGATCTTCAAGAATCTATCAATTCTGTAAGCATTTCATCCATAAACACCGGGAGTTATTTTTTTAATTCATCTGTGATTCAGTTACTGCATATCAGTATTCAACCAAGTACATGATGCTAAGAAAAGAAAAATTTTATTACTAAGATGGAACATGCTATACTTTGATATGACCCAGCTGAAGAGTCACTTAACAGGAGTTTAGTACTATAGAATAATTGTTTGTGGTAAAATAATAGAATTGAGGCAGAGACTTAAAATTGCATCACAGCAATACAGCCATTACTTGATTAATGGAAAACTTCCTCAAGAATTCTTCCATGGAGGGGTTGCATTGCATATTTGATACAGATTATTTTCAATGGTTCAGGCATGGGATCGAGAACTCCACTTTTCCATGGTTGATGGAGACTTTAAGAAGTTTGAGGGCAAATGGTCCGTAAAATCTGGAATAAGGTATAACCTATACCCCTGATAGCCAATACTTGTTAGCAGCCCTGCATAATATAGAGACTGTATTTTGTTTTACTTCTGAATTCATTGGACACCTTTAGTTTGCTTCAATAAAAACCGCTTTGTTTATCTGTAGTATAGTACATCAAGATAACATAATGGCAACACACTCAAAGTTTGGAATCCTGGATGAAGTTCTGATGACTGAAGAGGCTTCATTTTTGGCCTTTAAATCGAAGTTCATACATGATTCAGTTGAATAGCATCATTTGAGTTTTGAACTTAAACCCGTCCCCCCCCCCCCCCCCC